GAACCGACTCCATGGCACTTAACAACAACCACAGCATCTGGTAAGGTTGTTGTGAGGACAATTGAAAACGCTGAGTGGAAAGAGGTTTTGTTAATTTACAGTGTAAGGAATGATCACTGTTCGGTGTTGTTAAGTGCCATTGGGTCGGTTCTGACTCATAGTGATCCTCTATAGGGTTTCTGAGGAGCAGCTGGTGGGTTTCAACTGCCAACTTTGTGATCAGCAGCCCAGTGTTGATCCGACGACGCCACGCTAGGAGTTGCCGTTACCTCCCCCACATACTAACCCTGGCATCAGGGGGACAGATTCAGACAGAATAACTTCACGTCACCCACCTGCTGCAGATATGACTTGGCCAGTAAAACTAGGGTCATGGATTACTGAATTGTATGTCCGCAGATATGTGTCAGCAGACAGTGATGCGATGACATTATGTGACGGGTGTGTGATGATCCCCCATGATGTAAGAGAATTAAGATAGACAGGCAACACCCTCAATCTAGTCACAGCCCTGATCCAGTGTAAGGGGAGTGGACCTGGGGTGTGGCCTGTAAAGATCAGAGGGACCTACTACCACCAAGGAAGAAGAGCTGGTGTGGGGTCTCTCCTTTAGACTTGAGGTCCCTGCCTGTGAAGCTCCCAGATCCAGGGAAAGTTGATGCGGAGACACAAGGGGATCGCCAGTGAATGCTGAGCCTGCAGATGCTAACGGGAGGTAAGGACCTTTCTCCAGAGCCAGTGCTCTGAAGTTGGACTTCCAGCTTCCTAAACTGTGAGAAAATAAATTTCTGTTCAGTAAAGTCACCCCTTGTGGTATTTCTGCCGTAGCAGCAACAGGGAAGTAAGACAACTACTAAAAATTCAAACAAATGATAGATCTGTAGTTCTTTTGGAATATCCAGCATTGAAGGTTACCAGACACCAACCAGTTAGATGCCTTTGAGGCAATTCCAACTCATGGTACTGCATGTGTTCTCTGTAGGATTTCAAGACTGTGGCCATTCAGAAGCACATCATCAGTCTCTTCTGAGATGCCCTTGGGTTGATTTGCATAAGCTACTGTGTGCTCTACTTTCCACTAATACAACTGTTCATATACAGCGTATGGATGTGTCTTGCAGCTTCCGTTCTCTGATCTTTGAAAACTCAAATAAGGGGTTGCTACCCTGTGTATCCCCTTGGAAGACAGCTCCAGGATGACTGCAGTGAGCAAGCGATGAACTAACTCCAGGGGACACGAAGACACGATGCTGTTGGGTCAGAGAAGTACTAAGACTGAGGTTGTAGCTACACATAAGTGAATTTGATTGAATTTGGGTATTTTTTAATTCAACAAAACTGCCCCCAGGAGATTATTTATTCTTAAGGCTGATGTTTTTAAGCGCCATCTAGTCAGTTCTGGTAGCGTAGTGGTTACGAATCGGGCTGCGAACCTTAAGGTCAGCGGTTCGAAACTACCAGCCGCTCTGCGGGAGAAAGATGAGGCTTTCTACTCCCGTAAGGATTTACACCCTCGGAAACCCTGTACAGGGTCGCTATGGGTCGGAACCGACTCGACGGCACTTAACAACAACAACAGTCAGTTCTGACTCATAGTGATCCTATGCTCAATGGAGCAAAACACGGGTCTGAACCATCCTCAACAACTGTTGTTATGTTTGAATGTATTGCTGCTGCCACTGCGTCAGTGCATCTGACTGGAGGTCTTCCTTTTTTCCACTGACCCTCCACTTTGCCAAGCATGATGTTCTTCTCCTAGGACTTGTCCCTCCCAAAATGCATATGAGAAATGAAATCTCACCATCCTGGTTTCTAAGGAATAGCCTGGCTGTACTGCTTCCAACACAGATCTGTTTGTTCTTCTGGAAGTCCATAGAACATTTCATATTGTTTTTCAACGTCATAATTAAAATGTGTCAATCCTTCTCTTCTCTTCCTTAATCATTGCTCAACTCACATCATATGAGGTAAGTCAAAACACCATGGCTTGAGTCACGAGCAATTAGTGCTCAAACTGATATCTCTGTCCTTTAAGACTTTAAAGAGGTCTTTTGCAGCAAATTTGCCTAATGCTATATATGTCTTTTGATTTCTTGACTGCTGCTTCCATGAGTGTTGATTGTAGATGCAAGAAAAAAATGAAGTCTTTGACAACTTCAATTTTTTCTTCATTCATCATGACGTTATTTATTGATCCCGTCATGACGATCTTTGTTTTCTTCAAATTGAAGTACAATCCACAATGAAGGCTGTAGTCTTTGATCATCGTTAGTAAGCATTTTAAGTCTTCTTGCTTCCAGCAAGCAAGGTTGTATCATCAGCATATCATAGGTTGTTAATGAGTATTCCTCGATTGTAAACCACATTCATCATCATATAATCCAGTTTCTCCAATTATATTCTCAGCATACACATTGAATAAGTATGGTGAAAGGAGAGGCTCCTGGTGTTCACCTTTTTTGATGATAAACCACTCAGTATCCCCTTGTTCTGTTCTAATAACTGTATGTACAGGTTCCCCAGGAGCACAAATAACTGCTGTGAACTACCCATCTTTCTAAATGTTATCCATAGTTTGTCACGGTCCACACAGTCAAAAGTCTTTGCATAGTCAATAAATCACAAGTAAACATTTTTTCTGATATTTTCTGCTTTTAGCCAAGATATATCTGACATCAGCAATGATTCCCTCTTTCCGCACCCTCTTCTGAATTTTTGGCAGTTTCCTGTAGTATTGCAACCATTTTTTAAAATTATCTTTAGCAAAAATTTACTTGCATGTGACGTTAAAGATATTGTTCAATGATTTTCACATTCCTTTGGGTCTCTTTCAATCACTTGACCAGGTAGCTGTCTTCCAAATTTCTTGGCATAGATGAGTGAGTGCCTCCACTGCTGCACCCTAGTCTCTTACTCTGGTACCTCCACTGATACCTGTCTACCATAGGTGACCCTTCTGGTATTTAAAATATGTCAGTGACATAGCTTCCAACATCACAGCAACACAAACTGACAGAGGACAAGTGGTGGGTTCTTATGGTACCAAGCAATAGTTTGACTGTTTTGAAGTCACGTGAAAGAAAAAGAACAAGATAGAAGCAAGAGCCCTAGCGATCCAGAGCCTTCATCTAATTCTCTTTTGGTAAACCGCTGTGACTCTTTGGAGTTCATTTTCTATTCAATGGGGACTATTAGGGTTGCTGAGTCAGTACTGACTTGATGGCACCAAACAATAACAGTAACAATGACCCCCACCTGTGCCACAAGGTCAGGGTGAGACCCAATGTGATTTTGCCTGAGAAAAAAATGTATAACTTTGTCCCAAAACCTATTACCATTGTGTCAATTCTGACTCACAATGACCCTATAGGACAGAATAGACCCGCCCCATTGGGTTTCCTAGGTTGCAATCTTTACAGAAACAGATTGTCAAGCTTTATCCCACAGAGCATCTAGTGAGTTCGAACCCACTCACATTTTGGTTAGCAGCTGAAAACTTAATCATTATGCTACGAGGACTGTTGGGCAATTTGTAGACCCCACAAAGCAAACAAAACCTGCCTAGTGAATCCAGACACAGAGATGACTGAAGAGAGCCAGGAGGTCCCCTGGCCAGCAAAACACAGACCAAAACTTACATAGGGGATCTGGGCAGCCACCATTTCGTCATACAAGCTGGCAATCTCCGAGTCGTTCTGGTATCCATAGCGACACAGCTGAAACCCCAAGGCCCAATAAGGCACCATCACAGGCCTGCCAATCAACTAGAAAATAGACCGAAATATTAGTCCTCAAAAATGAGAAACCAATCTGAGGCTTACACCGAACATAACGATGGTTTTCCAGTGTGCTGAGCGAGGCAATCACAAATCCAAATCCAGACAGAAATTAAGGGGTGCAGAGCCACTGGGAAGCTCAGGACTAGCTTCCTGCTCCACCAGACCTTCCTTTCTAGGCATTCTGGAAAACCTGGGTCCTACTTGATTCTAGAGGCCGCTGATCTTACTGGTCAATAGAAGAGACGCTGGAGACAAAATGTTTGGGTTAGCATGCAGGCTCTTGTCCTTGCTGGCTTGTGTGACCTTGGGCAAAAGTTAGATAAGCTTCCTGTGCCTCATTTTCTTTAACTGTAAATTGCTCATGGTACTATGTGAGGATTTAAGGAGCTACAGTATGGAGCTGCCCTGACTGATGCCAGCATGCAGTAGGTATTTTATAAGTGTCTGCTGCTACATCTGGGGTAATCACCACTGCCACCCCACTATCCCACCTGCACTCCTGCCTCCACCACATCACCATTATCGTCATCATCACCAACATCACCACTAACACCATCACCACTACCCATGACCACCAACACCTCTACCACCTTCATCACCATCTACCCACCCCACTACCATGATCCTCACCCCACCCATACCACCTCCATCCCCACCATCCCCACCTACACATCCACTTCCCCCATCACCAATATTATCATCATCACCAGTATCACCACTACTATCCTCACCACCACCACCACCATCACCAATGGCATTATCATCACCACTACCATCCTCACTACCCATAACCACCTACACCTCTACCACCACCATCACACCACCACCACTAGCAACATCATCATCATCAATGCCATCAGCACCATCAGCATCACCACCACCACTACCACAACACCACCATAAACACCATCACCACCACAACACCACCATTACCAGCATGATTATTATCAGCATCTTCACCATCACCACATCACTACCACCCACCACCACTATAATCACCAACATCATTATCATCACCACCATCACTACTATTTCTGTTACTCTGTAATGCTTAAAGATATTATCAATGTAATGGTTATGGAAACATATTTATTTTCCTTTTTTCTTCATTCTACTATCTCCAAGAAAGACCAATCATTTCAGTTACCATGAGTGAGTCATAAAAATTCATGTGCCTAAGATGATTTGTGGCGCATAGTTGTGATGTGTAAACACTTGATATCAATCGAGTTCTCTCATACCTCAGTGTACTGCTGAGTGACAAGCTCTGGAGTTGGCCCCAAGACCACGTAAAAGTCCAGAACTCCCCCTGTGGTGCGGTATGTCAGGGCTGGCATGGGCTGGAATGTCACATCTAAAATAGAGGAGGATATCAACCAAGCTGGACACATTGTACTGATATACTACACCTGAAAAGTATACTCTCTCTGTCTTCCTATGTCCCTCAGTATAGAGATGAAGAGGTTAAGTGAAAACCTACAGTCTCACTGATTTTGTTCTCCTTTGATCTGTTTTATTATCTTATTATACTGTTGCTCATTCTACTCTCTTTTGTTTTAGGTATTATTAATAATTTATTTTATAAATAGTTTAAGACTCGTAAGAAATTATAAATTCTGTACTGAGAGTTCCCAGGTACACATCACCCAGCTTCCCCTAATGATAATATCTTGTAGAAGCACACAGTGCATTGTCAAAACCACTGAAATTGATATTGATGGAATAGTCCAGACTCAGGTATAGACGTCATTTGAAGTTCATCAGATTTTACATGCATCCATTTTCCCCCTATTCCTGTATTTAAGGATTTCCTATATACCATACAAATGTTCTCCATACTCTATCCAATGGTTAATGCTCTGACCCACAGCTTTCTTCTCTACCTCAAACTATGTGGCGGGATCCCGTGGGCTGGCTTCCAGGGAGGATATTTGAGACTTGTTGGGTATTATTCCTTCTCTAGTGATTTTGTCAAATAAGAATTGAGTTTGTTCTTTCAATTACCTGATGCAGAACTCAACTCCACAAACAGGACAAACAGAGAAAAATGAGAACAAATAAGCGACAACAACAACAAAAAAAACCTTCTCCACCAGATAACGATTTTGACTTCCTAACCTAGATCTCTGAAGTTACCTAAGAAAATTTGGCTCACAAAGATAAGAGGAGCTGCTGTTACCATCTTACCCATGGCATTGCTGTTGAGCAGGAGCACACCGTGGGCACTGCCATTCCTCTCCAGTGCCATGTAGTAGGGGTGCACGCCATAGGAGTTCATCTTGTACTGGGGGAGTCAAGGGGGAGAAGCGGTAGGAAGTTAAAAGACATTGTGTCTGAGGAACTCAACAGAAAGTGACCACAAAGATGGGTTTAGTCCTCTCTGTAACAGAATTAAATCCATGAAAAACAGCAGGACATGGGAATTGGCCCACTTTTCCAAAAGCAGACTGTGGCTATCCACTCATCCATTCTGAGTCTGGGAAAATGCAGCAGAAATGTGTGCAACGTAATGGACAGAGGCAAAGACACAGACCCCAAACATTCTGTCCTTACCCCTGGGGGCTGGTCCCGGGAGAACATGCCCCACGTGTGCCAGTTCATCTGTCTCTGGAAGAATCTGTGCTCAGTTTCCCCAAAGCCATAGAGGTACTGGGAGGGGAGACGAGTGGAGATGCGGATGAACATGTCATTGAAGGTGAAGCCAAGAACCTGAGAGTCCCAGCTGAAACACAAAGGGTAGATTGGAAGAAAAATTAGTTCCAGGATAACTGAACTCTTGACTTGCTCTTCCTTGAACTTACTCTTTTCCAAATATAACAAAATCCATTTGATGAAAACAATCCTAGATACCCTAGCTAAGAGCCCAATCTGAGCCTTCACTTCTCTCTTTCTATCACCATCTTCTAATCTTCTCCAAAATATAACTCTAACCACTTCTTACTGTCTAAACTGCACCACTTCATCCCAGCCCTCACTTCCACCCTTGGCCTTCAGACCTGTTTTCTACAGCATCCGGAGTAAGAGCTATGTAGACTCCTAGTCAATAGGCTGAGAGTTCAAGCTAACCCAGAGATACCTTGGAAGTAAGACCTAGTGATCTGCTTCAGAAGGTCACAGTCTTGGAAGATCTCTTCTGCAAAAACAGCCCAATAGCAGCTCACATCCTATCCCCCTCCCCACCATTGACAGTTTTTCAGGGGCTTCTCAGCCCAACATCTTATGGGGTCTTCAAGACCACTTCTGATCTGGAGCCTGCCTAACACCCACCTGAATCTCCCAACAGCACCTGCTTACTGACAGCATTGTTCCAACCACTTCAGCTTCTTCTCATCCTTAAATGCCAAGTTTGCCTCATAACCTATGCATTCACTACTTCCTGAATTGGCTGAATGCTATCCCTATCTCCACATGGTCCTACTGCTATCATCACCTCCTTGGAGAGAACTTCTCTAACTATGGGATCAGAAGCTGTCAAAAGTCCACTGTCATTGAGTCAATTCTGACCCATAGCAACCCTATAGGACACAGTGCAACTTCTCTACAGGGTTTCTGAGGCTGCGAATCTTTGTAGAATTACACTGACTCATTTTTTTGCCTCAGTTAGAAGCTCAGTGTTTTAATCACCCCAAAGCTCCTTACCAAAAACTGTTGTTGTTGTTGTTAGGTGCCATCAAATTGACCTTATGCACAATAGAACAAAACACTGCCTGGTCCAATACCATCCTCACAATGGTTGTTTGAGCCCATTGTTGTTGCCACTGTGTCAACTCATCTTCTTGAGGGTCTTCATTTTTTTCTCATCCTCCATTATACCAAGCCTGCTGTCCTTCACCAGTGACTGGTCCCCCCGATAACATGTCTAAAGTATTAAAGACAAAGTCTTGCCATCCTAGCCTCCAAGGAGCATTCTGGCTATGCTTCTAAGATAGATTTGTGTGTTCTTCTGGCAGTCCATGGCACTTCCAGTATTCTTTGCTAATACCATAATTCAAATGCATTGATTCTCCTACTGGCTTCCTTATTCATTGTCCAACTTTCATATGCATATGAGGTGATTGAAAATACCATGGCTTGGGTCAGGCACCCCTTAGTCCTCAACTGATACCTTTGCTCTTGAACACTTTGAAGAGATCTTTTTCAGCAGAATTGCCTAATATAATACGTCATTTAATTTCTTGACTGTTGTGTCCCTGAGTGTTGAAGATGAATCCAAACGAAATGAAGTCTCTGACAATTTCCATATTTCTTTGTAGGTCATGATGTTATCCAGCTGTGAGGATTTTTGTTTTCTTTACATTGCGGTGCAATCCACACTGAAGTCTGTGGTCTTTGATCATCACAGTAAGCATTTAAATCCTCTTTGCTTCCAGCAAGCAAGGTCTTATCGTCTGTGTCAAAAACCATAGCTTCTCCCAAGCTCCCCATTACCCTGCTTTTTATCTTTCATAGAATTCATAACATCGCTACCTCATTATTTATATTTTAACTTTTTTTTTTCTATTAACTATCACATCTTGCCATGAGGAGACTTCATCTATCTATAACTATAGCACGTAGAGCAGCACCTTGTATAGAATTCCTCCAGAAGCATTTGTTCAGTGAAGATGCAAGTTATTATATTCCCAGGGCACCAAATATTTCCCAAAAGTACATCTCCAAAGGAAATAAAGCATTCATGGATCTGGACATGGCTGGAGGAGGAAAGTGATTTGAGCCAGGGCACTTCCCAGGACAATAGGCCTACTGGTAAATGTGTGGGGTACCTGAAACCCTTAACAAGACAGGAGCCACTTACATGATGTTGCCTGTGCTCTTCCGGCGAATTTGAATCCCGAAGGGGTTCTCCTTAATCATGACTTCATAGAGTCGACCCCCAGAGGTACTGGACGGTGTCCCGGGTTTGTTAAGGGGCACTGGGACTTCATATCGTTTGTTATTGGGATCATAGATCTAGGAACAGAGGAGAGAGATTTTACGCAGGGACAATTCTCTTAAAACCAAACCTTAACAGAATCATGATACATTTGACCTTATTGCCATTAACCAATAAGCACCGTATGTTCCAGTTGGCATTCAACATCATGTGTTCAGTTGCTAATCCTTGGTGACATGGTGGGGAACAGGTGGCATTGTGTCTTGCAAGTAGATAGGGAAGCACAATTGGATACTAGTGTACCTTGCTTATTTGGTCACCTTGCCCTGTAACTTTGACAGAGTCTGAATGCTGTAATATGTTGTCTTCAAACTCATGATACCTATGACAAAATTAACATGTCAAAGAGTAATGTCAGAGTTCTCATTTCTGCCTGAATCTGCCTCATCTTCATTGTAAGACCTCTATTAAAGTAATTTGACATTGTTCCTTAGCTTGGAAAATCTACCTGGAATCACTGTGGTATTTCTGAATATGTTTTATTACTTTATATATGAGTGTATGAATGTACATAAATGCCTAGAAACTTTTATGAATTAAGAGAACATTCCTCAAAAAATATCAACTCTATCTGATTATAACAATCATGGTGGTTATATGCCATGGAGTCGGTTCCGACTCATAACGACCCTGTACAGGGTTTCCGAGGCTGCAAATCTTTACAGGGGCAGAAAGCCTTATCTTTCTCCTACAGAACAGCTGGTAGTTTCACACTGCTGACCTTAAGGTTAGCAGTCTGATTCGTAACCACTACACTACCAGAGCTTCAAGTTCTTAAAAATGGGATCTCTTTTCCTTTACTGAATCCTTACTACAGTGAGATCTGTGGGCCCCAGAACACCATGGGACTACCTGGCTTTTCCATGCCTCTGAGATTTTCCACCTTTGACAGGAAGAAGTCTGGCCACTTTTCTATCTTTCCTTTCAATGGAAATATTTGAGTTGTTCGTCTCTGACATGTTTCTGGATTTTGAAAATTTTAGTGTATTTTAGTTTTCCTTCTCTGGCACTGGACTGTTAACTATGAAATTGGTGAATCATGCCCACTAGGTGCTAGGAGCTCTGGTAGCATAGTGGTTACAAATCTGGCTGCTATGTCTCACGGTCAGCAGTTCAAAACTACCAGCTGTTCCACAGGAGAAAGATGAGGCTTTCTGCTCCCATAAAGATTTACAGCCTCCAAAACCCTGTGCAGGGTCACTATGAGTCAGAACCGGCTCCATCGCACATCACCACCACCCACCAGTCACTCCGTGGGAGTAAGATGAGACAATCTGCTCCCATAAAGATTTACAGTCTTGAAGTCTTGAAACCTCTATGGAGCTCTGTCCTGTAGGGTCTCTGGAAGTCAGAACTGTCTCAATGTCAGGATCTTCTCTGGCAGGTTTCTGTCTTACACAGGTTCTGACTTTTGCAAGTCTTACCACATCTGAATTTCCCTTCTCCAACAAGTTTCTGTCTTACACAGTTCTGGCTTTCGCTGTGTGTACCTGATTCCATACCAGATACCAGGATGATGAAGCTCTTACTCTAATGGATAGTGAGAGAGTGAGAAAGCCAGGATGCTTGAGTGATATGTGATAATGGAAAACATCTGGAAGGATCGTGAACTCCACAGTGTTTCTGGGAGTCTGATGCAGTTTCATGGAGCAGATATAGGCTGAATCCTGAAAGCCTTGCAACTATTCACCAAGCATAGAAGCAAGGTAAACGTACAGCAGATATAGAAATAGCAAACACCATGGTGCAGAGAGTGGATGCGGGCTCAGAAAGGCAGATAGTTTAAAGAGAGTTACTGTGTGGAAGGTGGAGGACAAGGAGGCAGCTGTCAAATGTTGAAGCTGGGAACCCAAGCAAGTTGGGTTCAACCCAACTAAGTGCAGAGCAGAGACATCAGCTTGAAGACTAAAGTGCACCTGACCCAAGCCATGGTATTTTCAATAACCTCTTATGCATGTGAAAGCTGGACAGTAAATAAGGAAGATTATAGAAGAATTGATGCTTTTGAGTTATAGTGTTGGAGGAGAATATTGAAAGTACCATGGGATGGGCTGTCAAAAGAACCAGTAGATCTGTGCTGGAAGAAGTGCAGCCAGAGTGCTCCTTGGAGACCAAGATGGCCAAACTTCGTCTCATACTTCAGACATATTGTCAGGAGGGACCAGTCACTGGAGAAGGATATCATGTTTGGTAAGGTGGAGGGTCAGAGAGACAGAGAAAGGCCCCCAGTGAGATGAATTGGCAAAGTGGCAACATCAATGGGCTTAAGCTTGGCAACAATTGTGAGGTTTGCCCAGGATTGGGCAGTGTTTCATTCTATTGTGCATAGGGTCACTATGAGTCAGTACCAACTCAATGACACCTAACAATAAGTGCCTTCCATATGCCAGCACTCTGGTGAGAATGGAGATAAAGGAGCATCCTGTAGAAGAAGAGGTAAAAGAACACATAGTCCAGATGAAATCAGCCTATGAAGAACCTCTTAGACAATACCACACTGCTATGACCTGAGCTCTCATGGAGCAGTTACTAAACACTCAGTGGCTAACCAAAAGTTCCATAGTTTGAACCTACCAGCTGCTCCGAGGGAGAAAGACCTGGCACTCAAATTCTGTAAAGATGACAGCCTTGAAAATTATGGGGCAGTTGTATCCTGTCCTATAGGGTCACCAGGAGTCAAAATCAACTTGATGACACATAACACCAGCAAAAGCCTTGACTCTTAACAAAATCCAGTGGAGCCAGAAGTGACCTAGTCAATACTTGATAAATCCACTGTACTTACCTTAAACTGCAGCATGTCATTCTTGTGGTAGGTGACAGCCAGGCGGAGGGAGGCCACGGGGGTTGAAGGGAAAGCGTTGGCATGAGGAAAATCCTTCAAGGAGATGTCAGCAGTGGCCCCGTCTGCACTGTACTGAATATTACTAACAGAATACAGATCGTTGCTAATATAGCAAAAAGGCACTCCGGTAGTAGCGGATTCCTGAAACAGATGGCCAGAGAAACATGAGAAGGGGATGAGGAAAGGGGGTTTACAGGTAGGAAAGTCAACCCACCCTCATTCACTTACATGCCATCTGGTGGTGACAGAACTCAAACCCAACCCAACCCCATGTCTTCTGAGTCCATTCTGATTCAAAACCACATGATAGGACAGAGCAGAACTGACCGGTAGGCTGTTCAAAACCACGAAGCTTTGAGACCTGTGAGACCCAGAACACAATGGGACTCCCTGCCCCATCTTTCTCTTGGTTTCCTGGAAAATCATTTGCAAAACCACCAGTCTTATCTCCACTTCAGGCTCAGGTCCAGCAGTTACTCAGCTTCCTGTACTATGCTCATAGACATTCACATGGAATGGAGAGGACTCGGAGGCCCACTGACACTGCATGGGGAGTCCCTGCCCCTCATCCAGCTCTGATTTCCACTCTCACTTCTTTGGGAAAACACACCTTCTCTAACTTACCTCCCAGACACAGCCACGGGCCATGCAGTTCTCTGGAGAAGCACCTTGTTCATCGGGGTAGCAGTCGATTTTGTCTGCATCACTTATGATGTTCAGGTCCCACTCCACCGTGTACTCCTGTCCCAGGACAAGGTCAAGCTCTGTGATAACGGCAACCTGTAGGAATGGGAGTGACAAGGACATTCAGCCTCAAGTCAAAGCCTTGTGAGATCTGCAGCTTTGATAGAACTGGAAATAGAGTGAACCTGACTCTCATCAATCCAAGAAGAGAACCCAAAAGGGAACCAGCCAGGATACGTCAAAAAGTATTAGTGCAACATCCTAAAACCTTTATTAAACAAAAATATCAAAATGTGAGACTACTGTTTCTTGACATACCCTTCATCTAGGTCTATACACATTTCAAGATGCTGTCTCCGTCTCTCTAACCCTTCCTCTAAGAATTTTGCAGTCTTTGATTTATGACAAGGAGAATGGCAATTTGGGGATCCTTGAGGTACTCAAATTGTGTTCCTTTTCAATGCACATTGAGTCTGGGGAGCAAAAAGAAATCTGACAGAACAGGATCAGGGCTATAGGGTGGACGGGGTAAGGTTTCCCAGTGAAATTCTTGCAGGGCATCCTCTGCGCACCTCCAAGAATGAACAGGTGCTTCTCATGATGGAAAAAAATTCTTGAGCACAACTTTCCTAGCTTTTTTCTCACCAACACAGTTTTAATTTTCCTTTGGAAATTTGGAAGTTTATTTCCTTGGAATCCCCAAACACAATCAGCATAACCCTCTGAGCTGAACTCTCTGCCTCACAGATCCCCTTGGAAACTACTGCTTTGACTGGAATGTATGTTTGAAGGCACCCTGAAGAGATTAAGACCAGTGTACTACTGAGAGAAACTGTCTGCAGCTGGTCAGTAGTCACAGAGATCTCCCCAAGAAAACTGCGATATGTACCCTTTGACAATTAGACCAAATGGGACCTTCTCATTCTGGCACTTAACAGTGAAAACTAATTACTACTGAGTGGATAGAACTGCTCCATGGGGTTTTCAGTGTCTGATTTTTGGCAATAGATATTCTAAGGTGACTCAGGGTAGACTGGAGCTTCTAACCTTTCAGTTAGCATCCAAGTATGTTAACTACACCAACCAGGGACTCTTCTGGCACCTAAAGCCCTCCAAAATCTGACCATAGCGTTGTTGTTGTTGCTAGGTGTTACCGAGTTGGTACCTACTCATTGCGACCCTATGTACAACAGAAAGAAATACTGCCCTGTCCTGCACCAACCTCATAATTATTGTTACATTTGAGCCCGTCACTGCTGCCACTGTGCCAATCCATCTCATTGAGAGTATTCCTCTTTTTCTCTGACCCTCCGCCTTACCAAACATGATATCCTTCTCCAGGGACTGATCCCTCCTGACACTATGTCCAAAGTATGAGAGATGAAGTACAGTCATCTTGACTTCCAGGGAGCATTCTGGTTGTCCTTCTTTCGACACAGGGTTTTTTGATCTTCTGGCAGTCTAGGGTACTTTTAATAGTCTTCTTCAACACCATAATTCAAACACATCAATTCTTCTACTGTCTTCCTCACTCACTGTCCAACTTTCACACGTGTATGAAATTATTGAAATACCATGACTTGGGTCAGGTGCACCATAGTCCTCAAACTGACATCTTGGCTATTCAACACTTTAAAGAGGTCTTGCACGGACCATTTGCCTAATGCAATACATCATTTGATTTCTTGACTGCTGATTCCATGAGTGTTAATGGTTGATCTGAGCAAACTGAAGTCTTTGTCAACTTCAATCTTTTCTCCATTTATCATTATGTATTTATTGGTCCAGTAGTGAGTATTTTTGTTTTCTTTACATTGAGGTACAACCCTTATTGAAAGCTATGGTCTTTCCTCTTCATCAGTAAGCATTTTAAGTCCTCTAGGCTTTCAGCAAGCAAGGTTGTATCATCTGCATATTGCAGGTCTTCCTCTAACCTTGATGCTGCATTTTTCATGTAATCCAGCTTCTTGGATTATTTGCTCATCATACATATTGAATAAGTATGGTGAAAGACTACAATCCTGGTGCACACCTTTGCCAATTTTAGACTATTCAGTAGTCACTTGTTTGGATAACTGCCTGTTGGTCTATGTACAGTTCCTTCATGAGTACAATTAAGTGTTCTGGAATATTCATTCTCCACAGTGCTGTCCATAGTTTGTCATGATCCACACAATCGAAAACCTTTACATAGTGAAAAAAGCACAGGTAAATATGTTCCTGGTATTCTCGGGTTTCAACCAAGATCCATCTGACTTCAGCAGTGATATCCCTCGTTCCATGACCTCTTATGAATCCAGCTTGAAACCCTGGAAGTTCTCTGTCAATGTACACTTGCAGTTATTTTAAAATTATATTTAGCAAAATTTTGCTTTGTAAATTTTAACTAAAATGTTATCTGTCCAAAATTACCTCCTTCTAAAAGTGAATGCAACCCATTCAGCTATACCAGAGTCACGGGCTTAAACAAAGCCCTTCTAAGACAGTACTTGGGTTGGCTTATTCTGAAGTGTGATACATTGTTAGTTGCCTGTCCTATAAACCCTTTTCATCCACTATTTAGTTTAAGATACCAAAGTTCCCAATAAAGGACTCCATTGTTAACACAGTTGTGGTTATCAATAAGTACAAGTCCCCTGGGGCCTACTGGCCATGTGTTTCGCATGGACTTCATCTTTACCTCTTCCCCTGCTTCCTGTGCCACAGAGCAATGACAACTGGCCACCTGCTAAACATCTTACCACATATATTAAAAATCCAGTATGTTTAAGCCACCATTTTCCCAGACTTTGATCACTTGCAGCAGAATGCAATCTTACCCAATGCACCATTTTTCTTTCTTTCTCTCTTTCTTTCTTTAAATTGCTATTTTGGATGAAAATTTACAGTGAAAATTTGTTTTCCATTCAACAATCCATGTACATTTTGTTTAGTGACATGGATTGCAATGGTCATAATATAACAGCATTCTTCCCACATTTTCCCTTGTGTTTATCATTTCATTCCTTGCTGGCTCCATCCATCGGCAAATGCTGCCCCTTTAATCTCCTATGACTCATGTAATGAGTGTGTACCTCCCTGGTGTTACTGTTCACCTTATAGGCCAATCATTTGCCTGAAATTCGAACTATAGAGGTGAGTTCAGTTCCAGGTTTGAAGGATGTCTAAGGGTCGTAGTCTCGAAGGTTCAACTAGTCTTTATCACATCATGAAACCTGATATTCTTGATGATGATGAGTTTTTTCCACATTTTCCTTCCTTTCAGAGTGGTCAACAGTGGTATCTTGGCACTATCGAGTTTTTCTGGCCTCCGGTTGTGGAGAATGGGATTCCCTTGTTCCATTAGTCCTTTGGACTTTGTTTCCTTGCATCTTTGATTTTATTCACTCTTCTTTCCTCAGGATGGGGAGAGACCAATAGTTGCATTAGAACTGTCCCAGAGGATCCCTTTGGAAACCACTGTTTTGATTGGACTGTATTTTTTAAGGTACCCTGAAGAGACTAAGACAAGCATATTATACCAAGCCCAAAATGTCAAATGTGATCAATATGTCACTATAAGAGAATACTAAATTCACTTATTTTCCCCAAATTTGGAAGGTCTCTCACAAGCCATGCTGATATAGTAACTCCTACTCTCAGGTTACTTGGGGAACCAATAGTAAGGAATATTTGGGGAAAGGATTCTTTGAAATGCTAAAGTATCAAAGGAACTTACTATATCCTGTTCTATAGTGTCAGCCTCATTACAATTGAAGAAAAACTATTGTATTAATATTAATATCACCTAATTAAATAAGTAAAGAGTTCTTGTGACACAGTGGTTAACTGCCCGGCTACTGACCAACAGAATGATCAGTGGTTTGAACCCACCAGCCACCCCACAGGAGAAAGATGTAGCAATCAACTAACGTAAATATGACAACCTAGGAAACCCTCTGGGCAGTTCTGCTCTGTTCTGTAGGGTTGCTATGCATTGAGATTGACTCTGTCTGCAGTAATGGGGTTTGATCAAATAAGTAGCCATCAGCTAGGATTATGCAATCCTTTGGTTGAAAATGTTTCTTTAAAAAAAGTATCTGTTGACATGAGCATCCATTTATCTCAATAGAGTAGGAAAAAGCTGCATTTCAGATTCTTAATTAACTGAAATCCCACCTCTCTTCTTACCTTTCCACATCAGTCAGCAGCTTTTGATCCCTCTTTTCCTATAATCCTGCTCCCCACACTTCTAACTGAACTCTTCCTCTGTCCCATCGAGTCCATTTCTTTCTCTTTTTTTATTTAATGTTTTATTGTGAATTATGTGATAGTTTACATGGGAGAACATTAGTTTACATTCATCCTATTGTATATTGTTTCATTACCATGGTTACAATCCCCTCCATGCATCATCAACCAACCAAAGGGTATACACTACAAGCCTGCCCCCTGGTTGTCAGCACACAGCCCCTCTCCCTCTCTGTCACTAAAATCCCCAGCCACTCCATCTCTCCATATCATCATTTCTGCCTCCTTCTCTGGCATCACTTTTTCTCTGGGTAGAGTCCCACTCTCCACTCTTCTCCCTTGATGGTTCCAGGGACTTCCGCTCCTAGACTGCAAAGTAAGTCACTCCCCTCCTTTTGCTACAAAATGTCTAGCATTGCATTTCCAACCCTCACAATCAGTCCTGATAACAATTATTCACTATTGTATCACAAGAGACCTAACCTCATCTTTCATCAGCCCCGCCCAGACAGATTGGATACTACTCAGTGGAGGTTCTACCTTCCTCTGAACTCTCTGGATCTAGGCTCCCTCTTGAAAACTTGTAAGCCAGTCATTTCTTGCCTTTGTAGCCCCACCCCACCCCCATTTTGGGTAGTCAATGTCCAAGTTGCTCATCCCTGTCTACACTGTGTATTGAGGGGGTGGGAATGATGATTCCCCACTGTAAAGATTTGTTCCCGATTTTGGGCTGCTGCCTCCATAGGTGTAGGTCAAGTTCATCAAGTTGTATCAAATTACTCTTTTTTTCCTCTTCTTTCTTCTTCTAGTTGAGCTCTGATCAGCCAGTCATTGAAGCCAGGTCAAGTGGGTATTATCTGCAAGTGTGGGTGTTCTTGTGCATGTGCCTCTCCTCTTATCAGCTGGATGCTTCACTCTCCACTCTAGTCCTCTGTGGCTATGTCACTGACTCTAGGCCCAAGAGTCCCCAGATCTTGCCACACTGCTGGCCAACACGTCACCCTCTGGGTTCACAGAGTCTATTGAACGTTGTAGGGCTTAGCTATCAGCTTCATTGCTGTTTTTCCCTCACTTCCCCTTATCGGTGATGAACGTGGCCATCAATCAGAGTGTGTATTCCCACTGAGTCTTAGTCTTGGAAGGAGGTTTGCCCTGAGGGATCTGACCACTTGCCTCTTATTTTTCTTTCCTGTCCCTCAGACCTCCCCACCACATGCCTCAGGGTGTGTGCTGGTCCTTCCAGAGCCCATACAACTAGTAAGAAGGGACCCAGAATTCTTGCTAAGACAGCTCAATAAAATGAGATCTTACCTTGAGTTGGTGATCATATGTGACTTTAGGAGAAATCTGACTTGGGGCACCATTTTGTGTCACTCTAATGTTGATAGGTTGCTTGGTCCCAAGGATTTTAATCTCCTTAAATGCTAAGTTATTGGGGTCTTTGTAGGTTGATTTCAAAACTTTCACATCTAACCGGTTCTGCAAAACAATAAACAGAAGTGCTGCCTGTCCTATGCAGATTCTCAAGCCATTCCAACATCCAACACAGACCAGATATCCAACAACTGGTTCTCAAGTTGCACAGATGAGAATATTCATACAAACCAGCTACTCCAATGTTTCCCAATGCTTCTTAACTGTCTCTGCTAAAACATTCCTTGTGCTCAAGGAATACAAATATATTTATAATCCCCCTCAAATGTTTTAAAATCAAGGGCACACATATACATACAGAAAGATATTTTCTAAGCTGCATTCAGAAAGGCTGACTGATTTATACTTCTCATTATCTTTTTTTGCCAAATGGATGACTAAAATGTTGAGTTCAGTCATCAATTGAAACTGTAAATTGAAACGTGTTCACCTGTATCTAGAAATGCATATGAAATCATAAATATAATAGCACACACACACACAACCCCTTTGAGCTAATGATCAGGTTAAAGCCCACACAGAAGGGTCATAAAATATGGTACTCACTTGAGAGACAGAAAACTCACAGAAGATATACATATTATTGGCCACCGTATCTGAAGACGAGAGGAAGACCAGTCATGTTCTGTTTGACACAGAGTGACATATTAACTACCCCTCCCCAAGGCTACATACATTTTGAGGATGACAAGATTATGGCCAGAGTCTCTAAGACCAAGCCACTGTTTTCCCCTCCCCATTCTTCAGTAGAGTCCTTTCTGAGTGTTTCTAAGACATATACCTCAAGCATATCTACAAGAGGGCTTCAAGAAGTTCATGGAAAAATTAAATTAAAACATGGAAATTTCCACAAACTTTTGGAAGCTCCCTCATATTTCCTAAGCTTAAACCACAAAATGTGTTAATATATTGGGTGCAGGAAAATGTACTAGAAAGCATGGCTAGATAAATTCTGTTTGGTAATGAAGAGAGTCAGTGAAAATGAGGAAAGACTTCCAGGAGATCGACTGACACAGATGAATTTAAACACAGAAGCGATTATAAAGTTGGTGCAGACTGGGCCAAGTTTCATTCTGTTGTGCATAAGTTCACCATGAGTCAGAGCTGACTCAACAGACAACTAACAACAGTGACAACAGATGAATAGTCACAGCAAAGTACATTCCCATTGCCTCATTGGCACAAGCAGACCTTTCAAACCACCAGTGTTTGCTCATAAGTATATTTAGAAAAATGCATACACTGATTTACAGGTACTGTCATGCAAACATTTCTTTTAGGTGCTGGTTGGCAATAAAATGACAGCCTATTTATATTGCTGGTGGATGGTAGAATTCTAAGAGTTAGAGATGAGTTTTTCCTCCATCTGTGGTTCCCCTGTTGTTACACTAAGCAGAGCAACCAGAAACTAAATCAGAGTTGAACAACAGGAGGTCTGAAGGGCCATGGACCAAAGAAGAAGGTTCATCAACAGCAGCATCATGAGAGTAGAGCTCACCTTTGGTTTCTCCATCATCCCAGAAAAGTTCCCCTTTGGCTTCTTTGTTCTCATCTAAGGCAATGATAAGGCCCAGAGGGTTTCGTCGACTGTAGGGAGCAAGATTTACATAAGATGTAAGACCTAAAGATCCAGGAATGTTACCACATGAACTGAAACAGTTTCCATCAAAATTCAAATGAGAAAAGTTAAAGTTACTAGTGGCAGATGACTCTGGTTTTCTGAAAGCATAAAAGCCAAAGGAGAATATTGTAAGTACCATGGGCTGCCAAAAGAACCAACAGATCTGTGTTGGAAGAAGTGCAGCCAGAGTGCTCCTTGGAGGCCAGGATGGCCAAACTTTGTCTCTCATGCTTCAGACATATTGTCAGGAGGGACCAGTTGCTGGAGAAGGATATCATGTTTGGTAAGGTGGAGGGTCAGAGAAAAAGAGGAAGACCCCCCCCAGTGAGATGGATTGGCAAAGTGGCAGCATCAATGGGCTCAAGTGTGGCAGCAATAGTGAGGTTGGCCCAGGACCGGGCAGAGTTTCATTCTGTTGTGCATATGGTCTCTATAAGTTGGTAATGACTCAATGGCACCTAACAACAACAACAAAGGCCAAATCGATGGAAGCAACTTTCTCTAATATCAGTAATGTCACAGGAGATAGAAATCCTGAAACATGTACAATAACCACCCCCAAAAAAATTTTTTTTATTTAAGAGGCAAGAATCTTAGCATCAGAACCACTGTTATAACTTCAGCCAGATTTGCTGATGCCACTGTTACTGAAACTATTGTTGTTGTTATGTGCCGTGGAGTCAGTTCTGACTCATAGCAACCCTGTACAGGGTTTCTGAGGCTGTAAATCTTTACAGGAGCAGAAAGCCTCATCTTTCTCCTGCAAAATGGCTGGTAGTTTCAAACTGCTGACCTTGTGGTTTGCAGCCCGATTTGTAACCACTACGCTACCAGAGCTCCTTCCTGGGACTATAGAGTATTAGAAATGAGAGACGTGATAGACAACAGCTGGTGGTGCTTGATCATTTTAGAGAAGCTGATGGTGGAAGAAGTGGGATGAGGGAAAGGCAAAATTTTTTTGTTGTTGCCTGGGGTCCATTTTCACACAGAAAACAAAAAGACAATACAATGAGGACCAACTCTATAATGGCAAATTTCCTTATTAGATTAATTCTTTGTTTTGAGAAAAAATGAAAACCTTCTACTTACCTGTTTTGTAATTTAGGAAACATACAGTAGTAGTCAGAGAGATGGAGAGTCAGATGGGCATAGTGAAAGGTAGGGTGGAGGTGGAAGGAGAAGGTGTAATGTCATTTGTGATCTCCCCCCATGTCACTACTCTTCTGAGTCAACTCCCAATGCCCCATCCTGACATCGTTCCCTTGTTGGTCCTTCCCCTGTGTTTCTTGTTTCTATACCTCAATCTGTCTGAACTTTGACCTTGGGTAAATGCTGCCCTTTTGATCGCAAATGTTTCTATGGTGTGTGGGCCTTGCTCGTGCTGCTGTCTCCCTATACCTTATCTATTGCTTGGTTGAAATTGAGCCAATGGGGTGAGTTTACTTACAGACCATAAGGGTGACCAAGGGCCCTCATCTTGGGTTTTACTAGTCTCTTTACTACCATGCCCTCTGTCTATTGTATGCTTTCATGGTCAGCCTTCTACTGTGCCCAGCAAGACAGGTTCATCTACCAACAAAAATCATAGCTTTCACTTAACACGCATGTCACTGAAGCTACATGAATCTCTGAAACCATTGGTCCTGAGGTACTCTTTTAACCTTAATATTTAAGCCAAAAAATAACTACTGAAGACTTCTTTGAAGCAAATAATAATTTCACTTAATTAATAAGGTATGTCTGCCTTGAGCTAGGTGTTCTTTTAAAGGATTATCTATATGAGATCAAACTGACAACAGTAACTTTGAAGGTTAGATGAGAAACTTTGGAGGCAGTGAGCTTGAACTAATGGTGGTAATTTGGAAAAGGATTGCAAGAATGGTTGCAGAACTTGAAGAGTGTAATCAACGTCACTGAATTGAAAGTAAAAATCGTTTAAATGGTGTATCTTTGCTGCATGTATTTTCACCAAGACAATACATAAATAAAAACAGTGAAACAAAAGGGGGAAGCAAAAGAAATGCACCAGGCCAAGAATGTTGGGAATGCAGGTGATAGGCCAGGTGCCCACATGTAATAAAGTGGATAAATACGTTTGGATAACAGCAAAGTAGCGCAGCTGGTCTATCCATGAGTACGAAGGTGTGGCAGGAGATAAAGCTGAGAGGGTAACTGGGAACCAGATTGTGGCTGTCCTCATACACCCTATTAATCTAAGACTTTGGACTTTGAGCAAGGGAGTCATGAGTTGAGATATTCATCTTTAAAAGATCATTTTGGTGTCCATGTGCAGAGCAATCTGACACAGAACAATTTCAGGAAAAGAACCCAGCAACTGGCATTGGATTCAGGTCTGTCTCCCACCAGCATCATAAATCTACAGCTTGAAAATGACAGGTCACCAAGAAGGGTCTAAAGAAAGGACTTGTTCCCAGCCTCCAAAGTACACCCAGTGTTAAAAAAAGGAAAGAAAGAAATGAAAATTTTGAGAGACCCATAGTATAAACATGCAGCTCTTCAGTCAAATTTACAGATGGAAATTGGGGTCTACTTTTCTAGAATCAAAGGAACACGAACGAGAAATCTGTGGCATGGGGAGATTTGAACCCTGCTGAAGGGAGAGAATGAGAGTCCAGTGGGAGTGAAAGCGTTGGCTGCCCATGGCAGGGTTGAGAGTGGACCCTGCAGCCCAGAAATGGGAATGAGTGAATCTTGAGTACAGAGAATGGACAGCCAGTCAGAGCAAGAAGGGTGCCCAGTTGTCTTGGTTTGAGGGACAGAGGACACAGAATTCTGAGCAGCAACCCAAGACGAACTCGGGCAAAACAGGACGGCTGACCACCCTGGCAGGCAGCGCGGTTTGAGGAGAAACTCAGGGGTTTAAGAAAGGGAAGTGACTATGGCCTTTGTAAATACACTTGGACAAAACTTTACGTCAACAACTTCCTCAAATGGTGCTGTGGGAACCTGGTGAGGGCAGGTGGATATCACTCCCTCACACGAGCACTCACATCAGTGCCCTCCCTTCCTCCTCTCATGTCTTGCTGGCTTCAGTGTCATCAGCAGAGAGGGGCAGGATGACCCATCCATCAAAAGGAGCCAGCAGGTTCAGGGTACCTGGCATCGGTGGTGGTGTTGGGCTGCTGGGTGGGGAAAACGTAGCCTCCTCGGAGGTGGAGTCCGATTTTGTCTCCCGGAAATTCCATTGAAACTTGTTCCTTCCTCCAGCTTACTGAGGCCCCCTGCATATGCAGATAAAGCAAAGACATTGGTGTGCTCAGCACACTGTCCCCACGAGGGCCCACAGCCGTGATATCCACAGCTGTCCCCCTTCTAATCAGCTGGGTGGGCAACCAGACACCACAAGGCAGAAAGCAAGAGCACTCCAGGCTTGACTCAGTTGTGCGTTTATAGAGCCTGGCTGCTACTGAGACTGACAGGGGCAGACAAGCTGGTCCTGATCAAATCACATGCCTGCAGGTGCCTCTGAGACTCACTCATGAGGACCTGAGTTTGCATCTGATGGCCAAATAAGGTACAGGCAGACCTGGGAGATATTGTGGGGCTGTTCCTGACCTCAGTAAGTTGAGTGGCACACCCAAATTTTGGTGTCCCAATGCATATAAAAGTTAGGAGTAGTTTATGAAAAATGCAACAATAGCATGTGTCTATGAAATAT